GGCGCAGCTGCCCACAGGATGCTGCCGCTAACGTTTTCGAGTCGCTCACCACCACCTAACGCCCAACTGGCCACTGCCAAGACAGAAGCGAAGAACATGAGCTCTGGTGAGCATCGGTTATGAAAACTTGCATATTGTGAACAATTGGCAGCCATTGTATATGTACCCAATTGTATCTAATAACTGGAAGAAGAGTATCAAACAATATTATATGCACCCAATCGTCTTGGTTTGGTTCTCACTGCCTCAGCACTTGCTAGCCCATCTCGTGCTTCCCAAAGAAAGATGCCTGCATGATCAACAGGCACAAGCAGTCAGTACATAGTAAGTAGTCAATAGTAGACTCTGAAATCCTTCACGCAGCATTCCAGATGTACTGATTCTTCAGTTACTAGCAGCATAGATGAAACTAACGACCAACGACAATATCAGCACCAATTGGAGCAGAACATGAAGTGTTGTAGTAATATGTCCATCCAGAACTTGTAAGAACAATGTTGTGAGTATGTTTAACAAGAATATTATTGGCCAGGAAATATTACTACATTTGAACATCTGTTTGTTCTGTGGTAGTTCGGATAAGTATGGAGCATAGATGACTAAACAAGTGAAACTTGCAAAGATTCTTTGGCAATATCGTCTTAGTTTACCTTATCATGATTACAAACCCCACATGTCCTGTAATAAAAAAGACGAATGCGATGCAGGGTTCAGGCGTTTCCTCTTGTCACGTTGCAAACAAACCCACACGACAAGAAGCAACAGCTTGCACTATACCAGCATATGGGTGCTGGACTTACTAGGGAAGGCTCATGACTGCAACTGAAAGTCAAGGCTAGGCTGTACAACAAATTGGTGCAAATGCAACTTGGCAGATCAGAAAAGAACTCAATGTGCAGTTCATCCCTCCTTTGCTCTGACACCTAAATGTGCATACGAGGGATATTCCCTTCTGATGTGCTTATATTAATACAAAGATTTTATAAGATCCTAAGAGCTTTAACATGGTGTTAAAACATGGCATCCTTGGTGAATGGTTCATGAAAAGATACACAAATGTAAACATGTGAAGACACCATGAACAGTTGGACACTTTGCATCTAAATAAAGAATAAAATGCAAACCGCGACCAGTTAGAGTGTTTACAGTATTTAATTTTCATAGCTTAAAACGAAAAAATGTAGATTCAAGAAACAGGTGTGAGAGAAATGAACCACCACTTGATTACCAACAACTTAAAAGAACATCAACAAGTGTCGTATACATTTGTGTGAACCAAGCAAGAGAACCAATTTCTGACCTTAAAGCTCAAACCAGAGGAAAACAACACAAACTCATGAACACTACTTCAGCGAGATCAGCTGTAAACTTATAATCACCTGTATGTGCAACTGCCAGACTGGAAACTACATGAACCCCAGAGGGCTTTATTCCAAAGTAGGACCATTCTACCAATGGATCTACTATGTGAATATCGGGACCTTTGGGTGCACTTTAGGAGACCACCACCTAACACAGCAGTGCGCTGTTCACGTCACATGGTAGAACTGTAAAGATACTGTTCTTTATGACCATGACAAGTTCCTGATGCTAACCAACACAGACTTCATTATTTACTTAGTATAAGACTCTAGATCACAGATTGAACTTACATTGGACCACCAGTATCCAGTATACATATTATTTGCACTACTATGAATCCTTGCTACTTTGGACCACATAAAGCATAGAATTTTGTGCTGACTTATCTTTTTAAACCAAATTCTACATGCTACAACTGGTCCAGTTCTTGATAAATAGTTCTTCAGGCTAACACAGATAAATGTAGTCCAGCAGCAAGAATACAATTATACAAAGGAAGGTCAAAAGGAGAAGTAAAGTAGAACTGTTGCCAAGGAAGCATTGAAGAATCTATATTATTGCATCTTAAGTGTGCACCCAAGAATACTACAAGTATACATTATTACATCTTGAAACATACTACTATTTGTTGATCCTACAATCATGTTCAAGCACGTATATATGGCTTGCACTTGATCCAGATATGAACAAGCCAATATTAAAATATATATAGAATCAGAAATGGTAGTTGATTCTAGAGACAACTTTCCCAGACAAGGTAATTGTCTGTGGAAGAATTCATCCCACACATAAGTTAGGCTTACAAAAAAAAAAAAGAGAGAACGGAACAATAACTCGCTTGGTAGTTCAGGCCCTCGCCCAGGATGGAACCTAATGGGCTCAGAGGTGTCATCAGGTCATGTTTGTACCTCCCTAAATAGTTCGATATTTCCCTCTCATAAGACAGGATGTATTCTCCCATGATCGAGTTTTTTTATTTAAGATTTACCAGATGTTGTGTCAGGTCAGACATTTCATGGTCGTAAACTTTGCTGTGCTCCTCTTTGAAGTGACGGGTACAGTAATAATATTTTTTGTGATGTGTTCTATAGTCAATACCTTTCTCAGCAGAATAATACACTACATGAGCACGGCACATGAATCAGTGATGTTGTTCTTTGTGGTATTTTAGCTGGTGATATAAACGTTTTACCTTGAAATAGTGCTCAGTTTAAGTCAAAGCACTAGTTTTCTTAAAGCTCTACATACCAGATTGTAACTAGCAGAAGTCCCTACCAAGCACTTGAAAACAAGCATCCCCAGGGCAGTGAAATTGACAAAATACATTTGATCATTATGTAAACATACAAGTGTTTTCCCTAGAAGGGAGACGTGTGAGTGTTGGGCTTATAGTACCAAAAGCCTTGTGCATTATCAATGAAAAACAGTATGCAAATATCTTTGCTGCTTCAAAAGATTGTAGAGCCTCTCCGCAGATTTTGCGGGGGAAAGGCTTGTCTCGGTTTATCCCTTCCCCAGACCCCACTCATGTGGGAGCCTCCGGCACTGGGTCTGCCCTTCAAAAGATTGTAGAGGTGGTGGTAGGTTGTCCTACTTAACTTTGGATAATTTTCTCAAGATTAATTTGTGTATGCATGGGCAAGTTCCACTAAGGATCCTCTGAAGGATAGATCTGGGCACAGATCTATTCTATCCATGTGATTTATCAGAATCCGTGTCTTCATGATCCATTGGAAGTGTTACATGTAATGCCTAGATCAGATGTAATGATCTATGTTATGTTTGAGATTTGTTACAACCAAGGCAATAGTGTGCTAATGAAGTAGGACCCACCATGTGCAGCTCAGCAGATAATGGCACAATTCCTAGTAAAGTTGATGATTCTGAGAATATATTTTTTGTACCCACAATTTAGTAAGTGATACTACAGAATTGTTCGCTGGTCTGAAACTTGGCTGAAAAACACTGTTCCGACTGGTTTGTTGTGAGAGAAAAACATTGTAGCGGCTGAAACTGGCTGAATCTCCAGAGGAGAACCAGCCGGCTGGTTCGCTGGAACCAAACCAGCGAACAAGTATATGCTTGATTACGAAACTAGGACTTGAGTAGAACCATAGGAGTACTAGTTACTCCTTACTAATAGCTTAACCAAGTGCTGGTTGTAACCAGCTAAACTGCAGCGATGATAATTTCATAGCTGGCTATACTTTCAATTGATGTACTAACAGTAGGAAGCAAATATTAGGAACCTCACTTAAGGCCTCTGCTACCAGAGGCATAAATACTTGTTCCAGAATACTAGTACCATGCTAGAGCATTGAAACAATGTACCAAACAAGTCGTATGTGTTGAACCTCACTTAAGGCCTCTGCTACCAGAGGCATAAATACTTGTTCGAGAATACTAGTACCATGCTAGAGCATTGAAACAATGTATCAAACAAGTCGTATGTGTTTGGAGGCAAATTGATGGATCTGGACAAAGAGGCACTTAAACAACAATACCTAATAACTCCGACAACATTGAAGCACTGCTGTCGTTTTCTTTACCATTTGTGGTGAAATTATCTGGTGGCATATGACTTATATGTAGGTATTACGCTTGAGACCCATTTGTCTAAGATATGGTGAGTTGCCATCATATTCATCTAGCAGGCAGCAAGTATTTCCAAATTACTTTTAACTGTAATGTACACCAGATCAGATAAAAGTGCATAAGAGGCAATTAAAACTGACTTACAAAGGACTGGCATAGGAATTGGCACTAGAAGCAACCAGTGCAAATTAGATCTCAGTTTCAGACATAAAAGATACTACTTGTAAGGTCATACTGCAATCCAGGCAATTATCTCCAATACAATGATGAGCAGCTGTCCTAAAGAAGGAAAACACAATCAGGCAAAACTTCCACAACAAAACAAGTGCTGTGTACGTCACTCAATACCTGCATAAGTCAATTTTAAATGTCACACAACAAATATTCACGCGAGCAAACTTTAACTGGGTGTTTGGTTTGAGGAATGAGGTGCACCTTCGCACTGGCATTTTTGTCTGATTTTGGAATGAAATCAGTTGAGCCATCACCATGTTTCCCTCACAAAGTTTCATGGTTAGCTTAATAATGAGGAATGGTTTCATCCCATTAAAATTCATGGGATGACCCCATGATGGACTATTCCATATTTCCATTCTAAATGAGGTGATCCCTCAAACTAAACACCCTACATGTGTTGTCTGCAACATACACAGATATTCAAATAAGATGCTCAAGTGCTCAAGATATTAAATTATCTCAAATTTGCAGACAATTGAATGCTAAAGCCTATCCAAATAGGCATTGAACAGTGGTGACATAAGCAGCATTTTTGTCACAATTCAACGGGCCTAGGTACCATTCCCTCATTGAGTTCATCGATGATTTCAGCAAACTATTTGCAGAATAAGGTTGTACACAAACTGTCACTAAGCTATACACATAATAACCATTGCACAATATTTTTGTGCGGCATTTTCTTGAAATATATACATGGACCTGCTATCCCCAAAATACAGAAACCAGAATTTCGCACATCCGAAAGAAGTGATCAAGTGAAGCAACAAAAAAAGAAACGCCACGAACCTTGGGAACAAGAAGGGTGACTAGCTACCAGGCGAGGCGCGGCACTGGTCGAAGCGGCGGAGCACCTCGGGGTCGTGCATGGACAACACGAAGCGCGAGAGCGCCTCGAGGTACAGCGCCGCCTGATACCCCCCGGCGGCGGCGACGAGGTCCGAGAGTACGCCCCGACGGAGCCGGTTGGCCTCGAGTGCAACGCCCTTGAGCTCCTCCAAGAACGCCTCCACGTCGGCGGCGCCGGTGGCCTCGGCGGCCACGAAGGCTTCCTGGGCCCGGCGGAGGCGGTCGGAGACGGCAGGGACGGCGGCGCGGATCCGGCGGTCGACGCGGTCGACGGCGGCGAGGAGTCGCGGCGAGGGCGAGAGCGTGCGGAGGAGCGAGGTAAGGAGGGAGGGGTGGACGTCGCCGAGCCACAGGAAGGGGAGCTCGAGCGGGGACCGCCAGTCCCCCGCGGCGATGACCCGCGCCGGGTCCTGGCGTGCGGCGGCGTCGAGCGCGGACCAGTGCGCCTGGAAGTGAGCCTCGACGGCCGCGGCGACGGAGGAGAGCGGGTCGTCCCAGGAGCCGGACGAGGAGGAGGAGGAGAGCGCGCGGCGGAGCAGCGGGAGGAGCGGGGAGCGGAGGGTGGCGAGCCAGGCGGCGAAGAAATCCCGGATCGGCCGCCTGGCGCCCGGACTCCCGCGGCCCGGCGGCGGGGGCCGCGGCATGCCTGCGGTTGCGGCGGGGAGGCCGCGGCGGCGGTGATTGGTGTCGGCGGTTGGTTCGCCGCTTGGAAGTCGGTGTTGGTTCTGTGGAGTTGGAGGGAAGGATGGGAGACAGCGGTGGGCTGAGACTGAGAGCCATCTAACTGGTGCAAGAAATTCTTGGCCCGGTCCAACTTTTTGGGCCTCGTGTGTGTCTTTGTCGTCGTACTGTTCACAATCGGAACTTTTCAGTTTGCTCCACACAATGGTGTCCCCCTGTTTTTTCTGCCAAACAGAGTGAGGTGAAAATTTCAAAAAAAAAAAAACAGAGTGAGGTGAAAACAGAAAACCTTACTTGGCACTTCCACTAGACATCCAGGTGACAAGGTAGCAAGCTGTGCCTCGTTAGTTTCACGACCACATATGACAGTGCGCTGTGCTTATGAGGCAATTATATTGCTAGGGTTTATTCTAGAGTACTCCCTCTATTTCAAATTATAAGATGTTTTGCTATTTCTAGATATATAGATGTTGCTATGTATTTTGATATACACTTATGTCTAGATACATAGTAAAAACAATAGATCTAGAAAATTCGAAACGTCTTATACTTTGGAACGGAGTAATAATTTATAGTGGTGGACCATAAACTACCTTGTTAACCTCATCCAAGTTCTCAAACTACGAAACTACTGATTGGGTGGGAGATTTAACATGATATAGACCGCCCACCTATGGCAAGTTTTTTTTCTAACATTGGACTAGATTTTAGGAATTTTAATCGTATGACTTATCTAAGAAAAATGTTTGGATATTTTTTTATAAGGTGAACCCTGAGCTATCAATGCAATCTAATTTACTATCTTCATGACTAAGTGAGGGCACATGTGTCTTTTGTGTTATCTCTTAATCTGTCCTAAAATCTGTAGAATATATATTATATTACATGATGGAGGGAGTAGTGCTTAACCATTCTGAATTTACATGTTTCCTCCCAACAATTTAGATTTAATATAATCAAATATGGTAATGAATCAATAATTGAGCCAGCTACTGGTACTGGTTTTTACATGTACTGCTTGAGCCCGAAAAAGTAACTAATTGTTGTCTTCATAACAATTTAGAACCTGTTTGACATAGCTCCTGCCTAAGCACTAAAGCTTTTGCTAAGATGAACAAAGAATAGGTGGAACCGTAGCCGCGTGAACAGTGCCAAACAAAACCGAGTAAACCACCCCAAAAGATACCGAAAAAATGGATACGCGCAGGGCAGGCATGCAACAACCCAACGCCCCAGATGTCAATAGAATGGCGATTGCGCGGGCTCAGGCTGTTTTCGGCTTCGCTTCCGGAACGATCCGCCGCAGCTCGGCCCCGCGTCTGACGACGACGATGGCCTCCTCTTCCCGCTTTGCGGCTCTGGCGTGTTAGCCACCTCCTGCCGGTTCACGTGCAGTGCGCGCCTTAGCCCGTGCTCGCTCTCCCCCAGATGCTTCACCTGCGCCAATCCGTGCGACCCCATCACTCATGCTTGTACGTGATCGATAGCGCAGCACGTACACGCACTGGTCAGGATCAAGAGTCTATGATCCTGTCGACCTGATGTGTTTTTTACCTTGCAGAAGAGTGAGCAGTAGTCGTGGCCGGAGAGTGGTCGCGCGCATGCGGCGCAGGGGTTCTCTGCGCTCGCTGACCGCTTCCTCGCCGTGCGCTCATTCAGGAACACCACCTCGTGGTCGCTCACCGTGTGCGACTGCATGCAACGCTGCGAATCAAGACCCGGATGGAAACGAAGCGCCTCTCAGCCGCCTCAGTGACTGTTGGTGTCCGCCTCGGTGACCGGTAGCGTACCTGAATGCCGGTGCAATCAAAGAGCCTCAGGTCGTCGACGCGCACGACAAAGCAGGACGCGTACTTCCATATCTTGGTTGGGTTCCATTACACACCGTCAAATAAATAAAGAGAAGAGTTTGAGATCGGTTTGTTGGAAGCAGGTGGCCACCCCACCCCGCATGCATGCCGATCATATCGTTGAACCGCGGCGCGGAAAGAAACGGTGCCGGCGGGCGGCGGCGCGGGTGGTACCTGGAGGACGCCATGTGCGTGTTCATGAGGGAGGCAATGGCGGCACAATGCCGCGGCGCAGTCGACACAGAAGTGGTTCTTGTCGTTCTTGCGCTCCCCCGGGTGCACGGCGCACGCGTCGAAGAACTCCTCCGATAGCAGGCCGCGCAGCCACTGCGGGGCGCCACGCATGGCCGCCGCCTGCATCGACATATCCGTCCTCACACGCGCTAGGTGGCTCCTGGGGTCGATCTGATGGGGGCCTTGGGAATAGATGGGTTGCTGCTTGCTCGTAGGTTCGGTTGGATTAGCGAGCGTGTAGAGGGTGCATGCAACGATAGGCACGGATGATTTCAATTCAAAGACCGAAAAGCCCGGGGTTCCACACCGTTCTGTGTGGTGCTAATTATCAACATGCGAGGTGTAATACCGAGATGGCATATGCCTATCAGCCTATGCCGTTTCCAAATTAATTAATTACACCCTACTCCAAATCGAAACTTGCCTTTCTAGACAATACGGCTTCCTTTTTTATATTGTTTGTCGTAGTCCTGTCCAACTTAACATTACCACGATCCTAAGTACTTAGGACACTTATGTTTGACATGCTCGAATTGCAGAATTACGATTCTATCATACTTTGAAAATGCATGTATATTTTATATAAACAGTAAATATCTGCTAAAAGTGGAATATTTATACCCCTGGTTTTGATAAATTTATCAATTTCTAAAGTTGAGAGTCCACTTATTCATGCCAAACTCAGTTGACGTTAATGTTTCACATTAGTTAATCATATAAATCATTTTGAAGTCAGATGTATTCAAACTTACGTTACTTGACATGTCATTCCATGCAGAAATACATCAAATTAGATTGATATAACATAATTTCATAAATATTACACAATTTTATACGATGAAAATTTAATGTTGGCTAGGGTCAAGATCATTTGTCATCCTACCAACTCTTGAGGATCGTAATGTTTGCCACACCTCGGAGGTAGGATGATGACGATATCTTGCTCGATCTACTACTATAATTGGATTGGATTCGATGCTCCACACAAGTCTCTCCACATTATACGTCGCACATAAGACACAATACATCTTGAAAATTATTGCAAGACACAACTTGCTATCTATTCACACTACTACAAAAAAAACTTAACCTAGGTGTTTTGCAAATGGGCTCGTAGGTGAGCGGATTTTTGAACCGCCTCGGTTAATGCCTGAGATTAACCGATGTGGTCATTTTTCATTAACAAAGGCGGTCACAATCAACCGCCTCATAAAATTGATTTACGGTGACGGTTATAAAATATATTAATGGAGGCAGGTCTTATAAGAGGCTCGCCTCCAAAAATACCCTTATTTTCACAGGCGAACCTCTTATAAGGCCCGTCTCAGTTAATATGGCCAAGCCCACCAGGAAGCCCGTTGTTTGAGCCCAGAAATCAGGTCACACTATATAATGAAATGAAACCCTAAATCCACTCTCTCCCTCAGCCGCACTCTCTCACTACTACACTCAGACCTTTCACAGCCACGTCGTAACCCCATCGCAGACGCATTTCGGCCTCGGCGGTAAGCTATCGGCAGTCAAGGTCATAGCCCTCACCGTCGCTATCTGAGACCGTCTGCGGTGTACACTCATACCGCCGTATTGGCTTACGATCCATTCGTGATAAGGTCCTTACTTCCATCGCATTGGAGCACGAACCGGCTGTGTGGGTATACACTAACACCGCCGTATTAACTTATGATCCGTTCATGATCAGGTCCTTGTTTCTGTCACATTAGAGCATGACCCACCTATGTGGGTGTACATTCACACCGTCATGTTGGCTTATGATTGGTCCGTGATCAAGTCGTTGTTTCCGTCGCATTGTACCACGACCCGCATGTATGGAGGACATCATCATCATTGCTTTGATGTATTATCCGTCTGTTTGAATGGCATTACCAAAGTCTCCTTGTAGTATGATCCGACCTTGATGAGGATGTACTAGGTGTCGGTTTACTAATCGAGACGATGGTGATAATTTTGTGATCCCGCCGCATCATAGGATGGAGCAGCGTTGTTGATGATGGCTTCGCCACCAGGTAATGGTACAGTGCGACGGTGACGAGGCTTTCATAACAGTCGCATAGTGGTATGATGCGGTGGTGTTGGCAACACAAGAACGACGGTTTAATACAAAACTGAGACCGTTACGGATTGGTACTGTATCTGGTATTGACAATAATTTTTTATTAAGATGGACCATAATAGCTACATGACACAACATGCAGATATATTTGTCAAATCCATACAATACGTTCACATACAAGAGTACTTTTGATAATAGACGATACGCTGACAGTAGTAGCTAGGATACAGAGATGCAGGATTTAAACTATTGTTGATAATTAAAAACCATACATGATAATTAACACACCGTGTGGTCTCCATGTATGGCCTCATCGAGGATAAAAGTAGCTAGGCGTTCTTGAAGCGCCGATATGTCTCGAGTGGTCAGCTCCCTTTGTATTCGACAGCAGCACAGATTACAAGAAGGCAGCGTTGTAGTAATGTAACATGGATTGCATTGTTCAATTTAATCAATAGATATTTGTGTGTTGGTATAATAAGAACCTGTTTGTGTTTCGTAGCTTTGATGATCCCTCTCATGTAATGCATTACATAGAACGCACTAATATCTCTGCCACCAGGACGTTGCTTTGCGATCATATCAACCTCTGTTACTCTGAACCCATCATTCCATGAAAGACCATAGAATCGGCTCTTCTTTTTGTACTTGTCGTAAGCCCTGTCATCATCCAGCAGAAAGATCATTGTGACGAATAAAAAAATTGTTACACATATAAATAATGAGATCTACGAAACCACATTGTAAAATGCATGGAATGAGAGCTGTACTTATTCATCATTTTTTGAAGGGTTTTATATGCTTCATTCCCCTCCTTATATCATACACGAAGAGCTTGGAATGCAGCAGGTCTACAACAATGAGGCAAGTATGTTCGCTGCAATAAAGAAAATCATATGCAGATTAGAGTCCCACCTGGTACACGTAATTACGTAAATGAATTACTCGCTTACCCGTCGTTGTATGGCCGGAGAATTAGTGATTTATCATCCTAGGCCAGAATGGAGTCGCACATAGCCTCCATCGTCGTTGTGAAGTCCACTATGCTAGAGTTAAAGGTCACCGAGTTGAAGAAGCCTATTGCAATGTTTTCGTCCATGCATGTATTTGCCTCCATCCTACAGATAAAAAAAGTTAAATTTGATAGATACAATGATTCAATTAAATGTACACACATGGGGCAGAAGCTCACATACATGATCCACAAGGACAAGATTTGGACATCCAGGGGGAAAACATTGTAAAAGTCAAACAATTTCTTGAACTTCACCCACGGTACCTCGTCCTCTCCATGATAGAAATGTTTGTCCTGGTATCTTGCACCAATCTAAAACCCCTTTTGGTTTAAGTACCACTCATTCAGAGCTTGCATTTTTGTCAACAATTTGTTGACCCGATTCGGATGCACTAGAGATTGAGCTAACTTAAACTGCCACTGTTGGTTTTGTTTTGTGTCTGTCTGCTCTATCTCTGTTGTTTTCTAGGATTGGTTTTGTTTTGTGCTTGTATGCTCCGTCTCTATTGTTTTCTTGGAGGGACAATGCAAGTTCTTTTGATTGCTATCTGTGGCAGTTTTCTTGTCCGATGCACTAATCTTCCGAATCTTATGGGGTCGCTCCCTAGTTTCAGAAATTGGTGGCAGTGTAGGTGTAGGCCTTGGATTGGTAAGTTCAACATCTTTGTTGGAACTGCAATCCTACATTGTGGCAATAAGGACTATGTTACGCTTCCACCACGGCACCAAGGACTCCATGTTGGCCGCTAGCGTTGACCTATCATCGTCCATGGTCATTTCCAACTCAACTATGTCATACTTTTCTTTGGCCAATGTATCTAGGATAATTCTGCATAACCTGGAGGCAACGGACATCCATTTATCATATTCCCTGGATGAACCTGACCGGCAGCCACCTTGTTCAAAATACGGCCTTGCATCCTTGCGACTCCATGTAGAGCATGCAATATGTAGGTTCGCTGATGTGATCCACGTCGAAGGTGGAATCTGCATCTATTTGTGGAAGTTGTGTGCTTCCACAGCTGCTGTGTACCCATTATGAGCTCAAGTTTCCACAGCAAACTAGTTCCACTTCTCTTTGAGCTTGGTATGTGGCAGTCAATGCCGCCTCCTTTTCTTTCCATTTGGCCTCGAACATAGCTAACAATTCTTCACGCACATTCGCAATTTTTCTAGCATTATGCCTCCCACGACTTCTATACGTGGATTGGTCAGTTTCGAAGGCAATCTGCCATGGAACCAGTCCTAACCTCATGCCCGACCAAGATGCTCTTTCGTCCCTAGTGCCTGACTCAGGACGTCATCCTCCCTATCAGGAACGAAAGTACCATTTGCCACTTGAGCCTGTAGTGCTTGTATCCTTTCAGCGAGTTCCCAGACTGCATCGTTTGGAAAACTTAGGGAGCCGTCATCGTTGTAGGTCATCTTTCTTGCAAGAAGATACCTCAACGAGCGGGCATCCCAACCTTTAGTCTGTGGTGTAACATCTTTTTGGAATAGCTCTTGTAACTTCTTCTCCCACTCAGGAACTTTCTTCGCGTACCCCCGAGAGCCGGTGCGGTGGGGGTTATCATTTCTACGGGAGTTGAGGGTATTTACTTTGCTAATTTTATGAGCTTCCTCTGAGTTCTTCCAACTGACCAAAGCTTCCCAATATGCTTGCTGAGTAGGGTGCTCACCTTTTTGCCAATCTGGCTCCATTCCCTTTAACACATGTTCTTTGTACAACTCATACTTGAAATACCACCATTTTTCCCATGCAGTGCAATGCCTGTTTCTTCACAATTTATGTATCAGTGGGGTGAAAGTTGAATTAAAACAAATTCACCATTTGATCCCAACATTTCTTCTTGATTTCATCAGTAACACACCAATCCTCTTGACCTTTCCTCTTCTTTCAGTACCTAAATTTGATTGGGACATGTTTTCTCACAATCGCACCCTGGGTGCTATGGTACGGCGCTATCACCGTGTCTGGTTCCTTGGGTTCTCTAATGTAATCGAAGTGGTTGATGACAAGTTAGTAAGAGCGCAGCTTGTTGCCAC